TTAGCTGGCATGCGCCTCGGAGGGAGCTTGCCTTATTCCATTGGAGGAGTTACTAAAACACTTGCGATTTTGTTGCTGCAGGAAAATCATATACATGGGTCAATTCCTCCTCAGATTGCACACCTGTCCAATCTCAAACTGATGAATTTGACACTCAACCAGTTTAACGGTACCATTCCAGATGAAATTGGTCAGTTTTCATATTTGGAACAACTTTCTCTATCATTTAACTCCTTTTCTGGGGAGATTCCAGCAGCATTAGGACAGTTGTCTCGTCTGGGCCTGCTTGATCTGTCAAATAATCAACTCTCGGGTAAGATCCCCGAAAGTTTTGGAGATCTAGTGAACATATATTATTTATTCCTCAACAACAACCTTCTGTCGGGAAAAATACCAAGAAGTTTAGGGAAGTGCAGGGATTTAAACAAGCTAGACCTGTCGTATAACAAACTGACAGGAAGCATACCTCCAGAAATGGGAATCCGTGGGATAGGGATTTTCCTGAATCTTTCTCATAATCAGCTAGAAGGACACATTCCTATTGAGTTAAGCAAGCTTGAAAACGTCCAAGAGATTGATCTTTCATCAAATCAGCTAGGGGGAATTATATTTGTTCAGATTTCAAGCTGCATTGCTTTGCAGACAATAAATTTGTCAAATAATTTTCTTGAAGGTCAGCTTCCTGAATCCCTAGGTGAGCTCTGGAGCCTTAAAGTTCTAGATGTTGCATGGAACAAGTTGTCTGGGAGGATTCCATCAAGCTTGAACAAAACCAGTACTCTTACTTTTCTGAATCTCTCATTCAACAACTTCGATGGACGAATACCCACTGGAGGCATATTTGACTTTGCCACGAACCTATCATTTGTCGGCAATCAGCATCTCTGTGGGATTATTCCTGGATTTCCAACTTGCCACCAGAAACTGAAAATTTTCCACTCGCATCTGTTTCTGATCATCTTATGTTCAGTCGTATCTGTATCAATGTTCTCGTCAACGATATGCTGTGTCATTGGATGTCAGAGACTCAAAGTCGTAATTGGCTCTACTAGTCAGCCTGAAAGAGAAAACCAAATGCCCCCAGAAGTGATGCACAATTTTCCAAGAATTACCTATAAAGAACTGGCAGAGGCAACCGGAGGATTTGAAGACCAGAGGCTGATTGGATCAGGCAGCTATGGACGCGTCTACAAGGGAGTTCTACCAGATGGCACATCCATAGCTGTCAAGGTTCTGCATTTACAAACTGGCAATTCTACCAAGAGTTTTAACAGAGAATGCCAAGTATTAAAAAGGATTCGTCATAGGAACCTGATGAGAATTATTACCGCATGTAGTTTGCCTGACTTCAAGGCCCTTGTTCTTCCCTATATGGCAAATGGGAGCTTAGATAGTCGTCTCTACCCACACCCAAGAACGGGTCTAAGTTCGGGCTCCTCGGACTTGAGTCTCCCGCAGAGGATTAATATTTGCAGTGATATTGCAGAAGGGATGGCTTATCTACACCATCATTCTCCTGTAAAAGTCATACATTGTGATCTAAAGCCAAGCAATGTTCTTCTCAATGATGACATGACAGCTTTAGTCTCTGACTTTGGGATAGCAAGATTGGTTATGACAATTGGTGCAGGAAATGCTGGGGTAATGGAGAATATGGGTAACTCTACTGCTAACTTATTGCGTGGTTCTGTTGGATATATTGCACCAGGTACAATTTCCCTTTGACTTGTGCACCTCTGAAGTTGAAACGAAGAAAAGAAAAGGTAATAATGCAAATTGGAAACTCGACAAAAGTAAATCTACACCAAAAACAATTAGCACAGAGTAAGAAAACAACATAAGCAAAGAAATTAATTAGTTTTTATGTCAGATTAGCATAGCAAATCTGCTGCAATGTACGAAAAATTAACGCTTTGGATGATGAATAACGTCATAAATATCATTCTTAGTTTGAAGTATTGTCTACAAAGGGCAGATTATAGGTCAATGACCAGAAACAACATTTTTGGCTGGCCATTTTATATTAGTTCAGATATTGGTGGCTGATTCTTATGTTGCACTGTGCAGAGTATGGGCTTGGGGCAAGCGCATCCACAAAGGGAGATGTATACAGCTTTGGTGTGATGGTTCTTGAGATGGTGACTAGGAAGAGACCGACAGATGACATGTTTGTTGGTGGTCTAAGCCTGCACAGATATGTAAAACGTTATTATCATAGAGAGGTTGAGAAAATTGTAGACTCTTCATTGATAAGAGCTGTAAAAGACGAGACTCCCGAAGTCAAGAAAATGTCGGAGGTTGCTATAGGAGAACTAATTGAACTGGGCATTCTTTGCACTCAGGATTCTCCCTCTGCGAGGCCTACAATGCTCGATGCTGCAGATGATTTGAATCGCCTGAAGAAATACTTAGGTGGGGATACCACTGCAACTTTTGCCTCATCTCTCGGAATATCATCATCCACTTTTAGTAGTGATTGGTGATTGTGTTGATTTAGTTCAATTAAGCTTCTTACAACAAAACTCATTGACTTTTTTCATCCGTCTTTTGTGAACTACTTACTAATCACTTGACCTGACGGAGCAGGTATAGCATATGATATCAATATGCGAAATCAAAGGCTATGGTCTATACTCTAAAATAACCATACTAACATAATATACTCTCAAAGGCAAGTATAGTCCACTCATACAGTCACATAAAACAAGGGACAACATACGAACTGATCACAAGCAAAACAATTCAGTTAAAAAGTCTAAGAGAACCATACTAACATAATATTCTAATGATCAAACTTAAGTTTATCCATTTAGTTAGTAGAAAGAGAAATCAGCTATACTACAACAACTTCGTACTTTTAATTTGAGCCATAGTGAAACTTGTTGTATTGATGAATGAGAATATGTCAATTTCCATCCATACCTCAGGGTGGTTATGGCTTGAAGGCACTTTGCATGAAGAAGAGAAAAACTTAAATGGTCACAAGCGCAAAACTAAACACACAATACCGTAAAGATCATCAAGGTTCATGACAACTGACAAGACAGCAACTTCATGCACCTAGGCTATCCTGATTACACCTTGTCCTCAGCAGACAAGATGAAATGGCTGCTGAATCACATTGTGAAATCATCTAGCATAAAACTCCTCGTAAAAAGTCAATGTTGTTAAGATAGCGCTACAATTTGTTCCTGAATATTGCTTGCTCGTTACTTAGACTATCAAATTGACTTCCAGCTAAGACATGTCAAAGGTCCCATTAAAAGTGACTTCCAGCAATATCAACGCCATCATGTGAAGAACTGCAGAACTGATTAAACCTCTCACAACATAGCCATCACTTTCCCCTAATGTGGTCTCCATTAGCAACAGCAGCAACAAACTTAGTCCTCGTAGCAACAACAAAAGTTCTTTAAGCATCATTGTTATCGAAGTCTTAGTGTCCCGCCAAAAAGGCATATTACTTACAGCACTGGCAAGGGGTAGTGTTGAAAAGTTGCTAATCTCATGATTCTTGGGAATTGTAAAACAACTGGTGCATTCCCGTTTCAGTGTTTCTCATTAGAACAGTCCTACTCTCATCTTCCCGGAACAGGAAAAACCCAGTGCTGAAACTAAGCAGAAGTAATAGTGTTACAAGGGTGATACCGTAAAAATCAAATCTTTACTCCTCTCACCATATTGATTCATTTCTAGGAGGGAATGAGGGATTAAGTGCATGCTCTATATGGTCAATTAAAGAAGTGATCAACTGCTGTGCAAAAGAAAGAAAGAACAATACCATTCTTTCTGGAAAGTAGATAAAAAGTGGTGAAAAAGATGGCCCAAAAGAATTTGCGCTTGGCAATTGATCAACAGAGAAACCAGCTCAAGTGCTGAATTGCAAAGCTGAAAACTTATTATTACTTCTGTTATTAAAGGAAGATTCTCAATCTTATCAAGCAACCATTTTTAACCCTTTTAAGCATTTGCAAACTAGAAGTTTGTTAATGAAAGACAAGTACGGGTCATTCAAAACATATTTGATGTATTGACCAAACTTAAGTGAATGATCATGCGGGGCTCTGAAATTTGGCTTTGGATATGGTAATGAGACTGAAAACCAACAGCAGAATTGAATCCCAGAAATGGCGACGATGCTTGAACGACCAGCATGGATACGAAGTATAAATAAGCAACCAAATGCAAACACGTTTTACCGGTTATTTATGCAAATATTGATACACTTATTCAAAACTAAATAAATATTGATAGTTTTACCCCAATCTCAGACAATCGTGTTTTTACCTTTCTGTATTGGTCTGTCGGGCTTGAAAACACTTTTCTGTATTGATCTGTTGGGCTTGATCTCAATGCTTTTGTAACCTGGATTTTAGCTTTTGATTTTCACAAAATTATTTTATGAAATTCTCCATCTTTTTTTATTGTATTTAATTTTAAATTTTTTGGGCCAAGAAAAGCTAACAATCACAGATGAAACTCATGGCTCACGCTGCTTTAGGATTCTAATCTTGGATTATATTTTTTTCATGCAAAAAAAAATACCCTCAAAATTTTAAGATAATTAGTAAAAGTAACTAAAACCTCTTTAAGTAGCATTTTTAAGACCGTAGATTCACCTAACTAGCATTTTTAACAGTAAACAAAAGCATATGATTCCTTTTAAGAAATCTAATTTCTAACAGTAAATTCAATAAAATCTACTTTACAAAAATAGAAAAAATTTAACAAAACCTTCCCATTTGAATTGCTATTTTTTGAAGTAGTTGTAGAAGAAATATGATATAGCGATTTGACATATGTAAGATAAAAAAGGTGATTGAAAAATATATTCATAAAAATATTAAAAAATTTTGATAGAAAAACTACAATCCGAACACCAAGTTTACAACTCTAGGTTAGAGAGGACTCTCAGCTTATTATTTTTTGATTGGGTAGCATGCAAAAGGGAACCAACCAGGAAACAAAAACAAAGAAATGTGGATTACCCATATAATCCGGCCAAGCCCACAACCCGAAACTACCCAATGATTCGATCCTGGTAAGAGCATCACAAAAATGACACTGGAGTAGTGATCCACGTATTTTGTGGTTGAATACAAAATGGCCCAAAGTTGTGAATATACTCGATCCATTTGTCCCATCTTACGTCGCAACGCACTCCCTCGAGAACCCGGACTCCCCAGTCCTTTCCCGCCCTCTCCAGAAGTCTCTGATTTTCCCTCAGTCCCCAACGATATTTTGAAAAAATGGACTCCTGTTTCCAGCTCAACCTCCTCGTTCTTTCCCGATCCCTCCAGTTTACTGCTTCGTGTTCCAGCCTCCAGCCATCTCTTTAATACCCCCGACCCCATCCCTCAACCCTGTATATATACTCCAACACCTCGTTAGTCCTCCTGCATCCAAGACCAATAAGAAAGAAGACCAACCTGACAACCGATACCTTTTCAAAAAAATCTAAAAACTGCGCCTTTTCTGAGAAATCCTCTTTCTTCTCTTATCGACCTGAGCTAATTCTTCGTTTCTTGATTTGTTGAGTTCAATTCTTTGTTGCTGAAATGGCAGCAAAAGGTGAAGGCAAGGCTATTGGCATCGATCTTGGCACAACCTACAGTTGTGTCGGGGTGTGGCAGAATGATCGAGTTGAGATCATCCCGAATGATCAAGGCAACAGAACAACCCCTTCTTATGTTGCATTCACCGATACTGAAAGGTTAATTGGTGATGCAGCTAAGAATCAGGTTGCTATGAATCCTCAGAACACTGTTTTCGATGCCAAACGACTTATCGGACGTCGCTGCTCTGACCCTTCTGTCCAGGCTGATATGAGGCATTGGCCGTTTAAGGTGATTGCTGGCCCAGGTGATAAGCCCATGATCGTTGTTCAGTACAAGGGCGAGGAGAAACACTTTGCTCCCGAGGAGATTTCTTCGATGGTCTTGACGAAGATGAGAGAGGTTGCTGAGTCTTTCTTGGGGCAAACTGTGAAGAATGCTGTGATCACCGTGCCTGCCTATTTCAATGATTCTCAGAGGCAGGCGACAAAGGATGCTGGCGCGATTGCTGCGATTAATGTGATGAGGATCATTAATGAACCAACGGCTGCTGCTATTGCTTATGGCTTGGACAAGAAGGGCTCAAGAACCGGCGAAAAGAATGTCCTGATATTCGATCTTGGTGGTGGAACTTTTGATGTCTCACTGCTGACTATTGAGGAAGGGATATTTGAAGTCAAGGCCACAGCGGGAGATACACATCTGGGTGGTGAAGATTTTGATAATAGGCTTGTCAATCATTTTGTTCAAGAATTTAAGAGGAAGAACAAGAAAGATATCAGTGGTAATGCTAGGGCTTTGAGGCGGTTGAGGACTGCATGTGAAAGGGCAAAGAGGACGCTTTCATCCACTGCACAGACCACGATTGAGATTGATTCTTTGTACGAGGGGATCGATTTCTATGCTACAATTACAAGGGCAAGATTTGAGGAGTTGAACATGGACTTGTTCAGGAAGTGCATGGAGCCCGTGGAGAAATGCTTGAGGGATGCTAAAGTTGACAAGAGCCATGTTCATGATGTGGTTCTTGTTGGTGGATCGACGAGGATACCAAAAGTCCAGCAACTCTTGCAAGATTTCTTCAATGGTAAAGAGCTTTGCAAGAGTATTAATCCTGATGAGGCTGTGGCTTATGGAGCTGCTGTTCAAGCAGCAATTTTGGGTGGAGAAACAGATCAAAAAGTTCAAGATTTGTTGCTTCTTGATGTCACCCCTCTCAGTCTTGGACTTGAGACTGCTGGTGGAGTGATGACGGTATTGATTCCGAGAAACACCACCATACCGACCAAGAAAGAGCAGATTTTCTCCACTTATTCTGATAACCAGCCTGGAGTGCTAATCCAAGTGTATGAAGGAGAGAGGCCAATGACCAAAGACAACAATCTTCTCGGTAAATTTGAGCTAAGTGGCATTCCACCAGCTCCAAGAGGTGTACCGCAGATTAATGTCTGCTTTGACATTGATGCAAATGGTATCCTGAACGTGTCTGCCGAAGACAAGACCGCTGGTGTGAAGAACAAGATTACTATTACCAATGACAAGGGAAGATTGAGCAAGGATGAAATTGAGAGAATGGTCCAGGAAGCCGAAAGGTATAAGGCTGAAGATGAGGCAGTCAAGAAGAAGGTAGAAGCCAAGAACTCCTTGGAGAACTATGCTTACAACATGAAAAACACTGTGAGAGATGAGAAGTTTGCTGGGAAATTGGATCCATCTGACAAGCAGAAAATTGAGAAGGCAATTGATGAGGCAATCGAGTGGTTGGACGGGAACCAATTGGCTGAAGTGGATGAGTTTGAAGACAAACAGAAAGAGCTGGAAGCGCTCTGCAATCCAATTATTGCTAAAATGTACCAGGGTGCTGGTGGAGATGTGCCGATGGGCGGAGCTGCTGCTGATATGCCTGGAGCTGGTCGTGGCACAGCTGATAGTGGTAGCAATGGTCCTGGGCCTAAGATTGAGGAAGTTGATTGAAGAGTTGAAAGTTCTTGCTGAAATGTCCTGTTTATGATTTTCTGTTTCACCCGCGCATGTCTTTTTATTTTTCTGTTTTTTTTGTATGATAGTAGTATCAAAAATTGGGAGTGACAGAAACAGTTGGGAGCGGCAGATTGAAAGCTGTAATAGATGTAGATCTTTAGGTCCTTCATAATAAAAAGTTTCCTCTTTTTGTAATTGACTGGGGTCTGATTTCTGATTTCTTCTGCATTTTAGATTCACTGCAACTTCTTTTTCTGTGTGGACTTTCACAATATGCTTTGAAACATGATGAGCCATCATGAGACTTAAAAAGTCTCAACCCAAAGAAGTAACAATAATCACAAATAATAATATGACAACTCAAAAAATAATGAGAGCAGACAAAATCCTCTCTCTCTCCCAATGGAGCGCAGGTCTGCTGCAATTTTGGGACTCCTACGAGACCTCAGAATCTAGGCCTTTTAAGAAATCTTCTATTGATTTTACATCTTAGTTGCGCGGCTACTTTGAGATTCCCTCACTTCAACACACTCCTGTTTAGTTTCTATTTTGCAGCACTTACCACTCAATCAGTGCAATCGTAATCAACTTACAGCTTGGTTGCCTGTAATTTAAATCTCGGACATTTTCTGCTTTCATTAATAAGTGTTCAGTGATCATATCTTATGCTTTCATTAGCTTTTCTCTTCACTGATCTGTTTTCTAGATGATGGGATGCAATTACCATCGAATAAGTCACAACCGAGATCGTCTGAACTCTTTTCCTTTCGTCAAATATATGGTGAAGCTGTAGACGGCCTATCAGTCGGGTTCTGAGATTGAATGATGATTAGTATGGCCACCATGATCATCTTCACATTTGCTTGGGAACTCCAAATCTACAGAGACGAGAATACAATGTACCATTAATTACGTAACAAGTCGCTTGAAATGCCGCCGAGAGTGGTGAGCAGAAACCGGGTTGCAAAATAGCAAACTCCACATCTTTAGAGTTATGGGTAATATAAGATCATTTTGAACTGCTTTCATCTCCAATTCTCGTTAATGGGGTATTAGATGAAGTTTCCTTTTCATTATGGGTGACTGTTGCAGGATTTTGACATTAAATTATACATTGTTTCATAAGGTTAGATCTACTTTTCATGATTAAATTTTTAGCAGCTAGCCCTTGAACTGTTACAACTTATCATATGACTAACAGTAGTATTGGGTCGACATCACAAGACACTTAGTATAGCTTCCAAGGTACTACTTGTTTCTCACATCAACTGGCATCTAGTAGATACTTCTAAAGCTAAAGAGAAGATGATGGAATCGCATTCCCTCTTGAATGGATTAGTTAATGAAGGGACCCTCAAGATGGATGAAATCTTGTATTCTAATCAGCTAAATATTCGCCTCGGCATCTCTTTACAGCTACTCAAAGGCGGTAAGCTTGTCGCCAGAAAATAGTGAAAGATGATCGAACTCTCGCAGATCTGTCTTAGGAAGACAGGATCTCAAATCCTGGAAGACAAGTGGGAATGCTTACAAGTAACTATGTAAAGGGATCCTTTATGCTATGTTCACATGATGCGGTGGTAACAGTTATATCCTACAAATTATACTCTGATTTCCATTGTAAACAGTTAAAGGCAATTTGGTGCAGGTACAGTTAAAACGAATACTTCCGCAAGCAGGAAAATGGCACTACAGTTAGATCTGCTGACAGGATGCTCCAATGCTTCAGGCCACTCTTTAATATTAATACTATTTTTTAGGGGAAAAAGGAGGAACCCACGTTTTTGCAGTTTTTTTCTTTTTTAATTTTTACTTTGTGGAGAATATTTTGAATTTGATCACCATTGAAAGATAACCACTAGCCACTATATATAACTTCATCGTTCCTGAAGAGAAAAGCGTAAAACCATTTCCTTCAAGCAAAGAACTCTATTTGACCCACAGCGGCAAATAAACCAAGTAGCCTCAACCGGCAGTAAATAAACAAAGATAAAGGAAGGAAGGGTATTCCCCTCAAAGCTAGGAAGAAACACCCAGGACTGATAGAAAGGGAGATGAGGAAAGGCTACTTGTTATGGTTCTTCGCCTTCCTATGTTCTCAATTATTCCTGTGTAGCTTGTCTCTTGATGAAGCTCCTACACTCCAAAATACAGATCCCAAGATCAAAAAACTTACGCCAGTAGCCCAAGAAAAACAGGGTAAGTTACTTTTTTCCTTTTTGTGTTTTTTAACGGTTGCTTGAAATAGCCTGATTTTGTACTGTTTGCAGGAACATATAGCAGTGGCAATTTCAGTCTCCATACTTATGGCCATGGGGGTGCAAAGGATCACACCACCGATACAGAGATGACACAGAGAGGGAAGGGAACCTATGGCGGTGCAAATGTAGTCCATCGAAGGCCTGGTGAGAAGGCTGCAGCATCAGTCCTAGAAAGCCCGTTTGGCTTATTTTTGCTTCTTATTTTACCTCATCTCGTTGCCTAAATGCTTCCTAGAGTATAACCACAGAAGTTTCCGCCACTTCTCTGTCTTCAGCTATTTATGATTTGGACTACTAAGTTTCTTCCTTGAGCAGACTGTCACATGAGCTCTTAATTTTGGCTCATCTCCAAATTTTTCATGTGAATGTTGGTTATGCCACTGGTTTGGAGTTCTTCTTTTTTTTTCCTGTCGCACCCATAGATGCAAATTCGAGGGATGGTTTTGCTAATTCTTTGGTCAAAATCTTAACTGCGGAACCATGCAACACTTGATCCTTCGCTGATTGGTAATTCAGCTTAAAATTTCTTCAGACATTACTTGGCCAAGCCTGCACATTTGGACAGAATATATTCATCTCATCAACCGTCCTAAACTCATCAAATACTAAAAAAGAAACAATAACTAACGAATTTGTGAAGTTAGAAAGATTACAACTTCAGAACTCAAATGACAAAACAATAAAATGAAATGAACCTTATCCTTTCACCATCATTACATGCACAAGGAACTTAGACAAGAATTATTGTCCACATAGGTACAAAACAGAACAGTGGTTCTTCATAAGCTTAAACAATTACTCAAGAAACCACCACCGCATGAATAGCTGGCCCGGAACCGAAAGCTATTAATACAAGCGTGAAAATTCATGTGATGTGCTCCCATTCAAATGTCATACAAGAAACTCTGGAAGAGTTTCATGTGCTCGCCCTGCAATGAAATAGCTACTGACATGCTTCCATCATTGGTTGGACTAGGCAATATAAAGCTTAAACCTTCATAAGCGATGCCACCAGGACCCATAAATATGGGCCGACCCCAGCCAAAATCAGCATCATGGATGGGTAACCTTACCCAGCTTGTGATCCCCAGATTTGGACACTTGAAAGTATGGGCACCACGAACCAGGGCCTTCAAATCAGGCTGTAATTCCAAGTAATCAAGAGCTGACCTTAAGTAGTCGTTGTCCATCCTCGCCAATGCATCGTGGATTTTACTTGCAGCATACCAGACTGGCTTGAATTCAAGGTCACCAGCTATAGCTATCGGGGTTGCCGTGAAGATGACATTGCCAAAATAGCCAGGTGGGAGCGAAGGCCTAAGTCTTGCCCGTCCATCAGTAGCAATGTACAATTTTGTTCCTTGATCAACTTCGAGTCCTCGTGCCTTGCAAGCACAGCGCCATACATGGCCTGCCAACATTTCGTAGGAGCTATAGCTAATGGTGTTTCCATCTTCCTTGGACTTGGCTTTCAGGGCACTGATTTGCTCCCTGGTTAACTTGAAGATGGACACCGCAGTTTCAGGAACTGAGTCAGATTTTGCAGTTTGCGGGGAAACTTTTAAGGCTGGAGGAGGTTGGTACTCAATGTGCTGGAATTGAGGCTGGGGCGGATCGCGGGCACGGAGGAGGGTGCGGTCTATGAATGGTGGCAGGGTCACATCAAGGCCACGGGCCATATCAGACCATGAATTGATGAAATGAAGACCTGAAAATCCATCAGCTGCATGATGTTGCATGCCAACACCAAGAGAGACTCCACCACACTTGAAATATGTCACCTGATCCAAAGTTACAATCAAGAATCTCATGAGCTAACTAACATTATTATTATTAGCCATAGCAAATCGAAATTAACGAAGACATGCTAGTCTTTTCTGCATTCTCTTCTTAACAGGAATTCGATCACTAGCAACAACCTACAAGTGTAGCTCTTCTCATCCTGCTACATGCTACCTAGTGCGTATGATTCCAGCACAACCTAACCCAGTATGAAATCATAACCTGAATTCAGTGTTTCAACTCACAAATTTTACTAGAAAGGCTAGTATATAGCTGTTTGTCCAAAGAGGAGATTCAGATATTAATCATTTAATACAAAACAAAATAAAATTATAAAAAGTGTCTAAATTAATTGTGTGTACGTCTAATTTAGATAAACACGTGTATAATATTTTTTAAATTTTTTTAAATGTAGGTGAGAGAGTTCAAATTCAAGACCTCTCGCTCACACTCCCTTCTGTCCCGAACTGCCCAACACGTTCTTCTTCATGAAATGAAATAAATAGTTACGTATCAATGCTTAAATGGTAGGCGGGTAGGTGAATGTAATAATAACGCATTAATACTTGTACCATTATTGGACTTACTAAATAGGTTTGTAATTCAACGAATTAGATGGTCCACAATTTCCAAATTAACTGGACATTTATTCCCCCCATCTAATTATGATAATGTCTATAAATCTATATTATAGTGTCTATATATCTAAATTTGACAAAATAAATTATGATGCGCTGTCAGAAGTGTTAGCTGATTTTTTTTTTCACCTATAAATTTGCAGCTTATGATACAGATTACCAAAAAAAAAATTCAACAACCAAGTAAGAGAAAGAATCATCAAATAAATGAATTATAAATCCAAAGAACCTAGAAAGTAAAAAAGAAAAATTTTAAGCTCAAGAAATTATTAGATATTGTATATATCTAAGCCATTATCTTAGTGAAAATTCAAAAAGCTTCTTCCATGCTCCTTGTACTCACCACATATGTATATACACCCTTGCAAGTTAAAGTTGTTCAATATTGAGAGTCCGAGGCTCATTTTCAATAGATGATGTCCTATCCAAAGAAACTATTGTTGCTCCCTCCATTCTTGAACACTTTTAATCTATCAATCAAACAATCATTTGAATTGCAACAAAAAGAATAGGA